TTCCAGAGCATAATAAATCCAAAAGAAACCCTAGAGAACAAAATGTTCCATGAATGAGCCAGGAATATTGAAGAATCCCTTAAAGACAGAAAAGAGGAAGGATGAAATGATGAGCTGTTATATAGCAGAATGGATAAAGCTAAAATAGCAAAAATAAATAAATAAATAAAATAAAAAAAAATGATGAGATGGGAAGAATGGATCCAGACATTTCAACGTGTGAATGACAGGTGTTACAGAAACAACAAAGAATGGTGGTGAGGGTTGGGGGTTTCAAAAGCAGAAAATGTCCCAGATTTGAAAAAAAAAAAGACAAATTTTCAAATTAAAAGGACCCACTAAGTCCTTGGAATACTAGTAACTAATAAAATAGGTTACCTATTAAGCAATGGAAATTAGGTTGCCATTGGGTTTCTCAATGATGCAATATTTCAGAGCTGAAACTGAAATCCTATACCCAGCCAATTCCATATTGAAGTGGGAGAAAAGACAATTTCAGATATGCAAGGATTCAGAAAGTTTATCACCTCACTGGAGAATGACTACTGCAAAATGAACTGGGAAAAACAACATTTACCCAGATTCTCATCCCCAATCATCTGAGATAATAGGTGAACATTTACTACATGCTCTTTATATAAATTATCCAACTTCCCAATTATACTGTGGGAAGATACACTTATGATCCCCATACAGACATAAACAAGGATATAACAAAAAATGATAGGCAATAAAAACTTATGCTTGGGGGGGGGGGGGTGAAAGGATTTTCAAAAATGATTCTGGAGCTAAATTCCAGATCAATAATGCAAACCAAGTGCCAGGGGTAGTATGGGTTGCTTCAATAAGAAGTCCTCACTTGGGTTTACAATAGTGCACTATCATTCATTCTCCATGATGGGCTGTCTTGTGTGGTGACTAACCCAGGAAATGGATGGGAATGAGGTGGGAACACACACCTGGCATCTTTCACATCATTGATGGTGACACTCACCTCTGCAATTCTTCGGGTATGTTGTAATGCTTTTGACGTATTATTTTGGTACTCCAGTTGGCATTTTCTACTAGAATAGCCCTTACTCAATGAGTGAACTCAGCAATGAAGAAATTCTGTCAGTTGCTAAGATAACCTATTTCAGCTTATTCACTTGTCAAACAGGGTACCTAACCATAAGACATTCTGTACCGCCAGCCCTACCCAAAGGTGAACTTGGGCCGGAATTCAGTTATCACCTAACCCCTCTATAAGCACAGAATGTTGATGGCAAACCATGCCGTTTTGGTACCAGAAATTAGTGATAGTCTCTGAGCAGTTTGGGTACTTTCTTTTCTCCATCCGTAAGGAATCACAAGGCCTTTGGGGAAAGGCTGGGACAAAGGCTTGTAGTACTGAGGTAGTGTTTCAGCAACATCCTTCTTTAAGAACACCCGGGCTACCCTCAAGAGGCTCTGGGCCTGGGATCTGAGTTAGCTCTGTGGATGGGGTGACAAGTCAGGTCGCTCACTCCTGAGATGCCTCTGTTCCCAGCCCTAGAATTGTGTTTTCTTGCTTTTTGTGGTTACACTGAGTTAAGTTCATTCCTTGAATCCTACAATTAATTAACCACAACCAGAGAGCTCTGTGAGTCAAGACCAACATGTTTTCTACCAGCTGCCTGTTGTGATGACTAGAGCCCGTTTTCTTCTGGCAATTAACTGTGGCCACCTGGTCTCCTCCCATCCCTGCTTGCGTTGGGGAGTATATTTCAACTGCAGCTGCTCTTACCAACATTCCTGCCTTAGAAAACAGCCAGTAAGGAGAGAAAGAGTATGTTTAAGCTTCTGAAGCTTCAATATACGCCTCATGACAAAAATGACTCTTTTGAAAAACCTACTCAGGAATGAGTGAGGATTGAAAAAAAAAAAAAAGCCAAAAAAACAACAACATGTTGTCGCATCCACCTGCTCTGGAACCACGTGTGGAGAAACCAATGTCATAGAGGTTAAACAAAAGTGTTGTTCCTATACTCCATTTAAACCAGCCTCTTCTCCCTTACTCGGGTTGATTTTTCTTAAGAGCACTTGGCCTTCCTTGATATTATGTATTACATACAATTTTAATGTCAATTACACCTCAGTAAAGTGGGTAAATAAACACATAAGTAAATTTTTAAAAAATTGTGTGAACGTGTTTCTCATCAACAGTAACAAAAATTTGAAGAGCTTATTAAAAATCCTTGATTAGACATTTCATGTAGCCATTTCAAACATGAAATTACTTTTGTGGAAGCTCAAGCTGTTTTTTCTCATTTAAAGTGTCATTTTTTACTTATGTAACATGTCAGGTGAACAATATACAGATTCAATATTTGCATATGTTGCAAAATGATCACCAGAGTAAATCTAGCCAACATCCACCCACATTCATAGTTACAAAACTGTTTTTCTTGTAATGAGGATTTTTAAGATCTCTCTCAGCAACTTTCAAATATGCAACCCAGATGCCTGAAGTCAGTACAGTTAGGGAAACCAGCTCTGACAGAGCTGTCTGCAGTTTTAACCAACTGCTCTGCCGATAAAGGTAGGAATTTCCATCTTTCTCAAGTCCCCAGCCTGCCTCCCATGACCCCATGTAGTTTCCAAATCCAATTGATTCTCCATCTCAGAGATATTTCCTGAATTCAAGCCATCTCCACTGCAAAGCCTGGGACCCAGCTCTCATCAGTATCTGTTTCCTGGGCCACTGCTAGGCACTCCTAGTTGGTCTCTTTGCCATCTACAAACCGAGAAAGTCAAAGTCAAATAGGAAAAAAAAAAAAAAAAAGTCAAATTTAAGTCGTCTTAGTTTCTTAAGAGCTCTAAAATAAGATTTGCAATTTTATCTAGTGACAATGATTCCAGCCTTTTCATTAAGTAATTCATATAAATCAATATTCACTCCTTTATCCAAAAGGATATAACATTTCAAAACAATAAGTGAAATAAGTATAATTTTTAAAGCCTTGAAATCTTTTATGACCTTTTGTCTCAGAAACAAACCCAAAGTCAACAAGTTTAATTGTTCCTCCCCATTCGCACACACGTCAGTCTCTTAACAAATCCAAACAAGAAGGGAAGTATTAAAAGTTTAAAAATGTCTACGTATAATATTTTCAACAAAGGGATGACCAACATTAATTAAAAGGGAGTCTGAAAGAAAACAGCAACATCCTAAGAGTAGACGAGGCCAGCCAGCTAGAGACTCGTGTTGCTGCCTCAGCATTCCCCTCCTCCTGCACTTCCCAGAGATGCTGTGCTGACCGTTTTACCACGGAATGAATGCGATGCACTTTCTCAGCATCACTGTCATTTATAATCCCAACAGGCCTGTGTGATAAGCAGGTGCTTGTATCGATTGCAGTTAAAATAAGGATATAAAAAAATGAAGAAATGATTACGTACCTTGTCAGTGGTCCTACAGCATAAGAGACTTGAGAACAAACACCCTACAGCATAAGAGACTTGAGAACAAACACCTTTTCTCACCAGTTCTTCTTCTGCAAGAAATCCCTCTGTCTTATTGGGAGACAGGGTACAGTTTTGAGAACATCGTTTATCCAGATACCTTGCCAATTCTTTGAGTAAAAATTGAGATGAAATTTTGGTTCAAGAGTTTAGGGCTCTAGATCGAATTAATTTGTAACAATCAAAGGCTGAGAAAAAAAAATATCAGTAAGTGCTACCAACAGTTTCATACTTTTTCAAACAGGGAAATCTTTACAGGATGATAAACTAGCAATGTATAATGGCAGCTATGAATGTGAGCGAATATTGAACAATCAGGACACCTTTCCCTCTGTGGGCCAAAGGCAGCCTCAGAGTTTTTCTCATGGCGCTGCTCTCGGCAGGAACATTCATTGAGGCAGGCACATGAGAGGAAATATTTGCCCTCTCTTAGGGAACTCAGGCAATAAAAAGGTTTAGAGAGTAAAAACCACATTTATTCAACCTGCTTTATTACTAATTTTTTAATGACTTTATTCCCAGAAGCCTACACTTGGAATATATGGAAGAAAGTAGTGGCGTAGTTTCTCCAAACCCTTTGGTGTTACTTCAGGTTCTCATTCTTCAGTAAGATTTTTGAGAGGAAAAAAACTACTGCTGAGTAAACTCAAGAAAGATAAGTGAGCGTTATTTCTACCATCATGCAATCTGAGCTACTTAATCTTGAGTTTGTAGGGTTACCTAGAGTCCTAGGCCAACCTCGAATTCAGTGTGAAAAGGATCATGAGTAGAGAATAACAGAGAAGCTTATTCACTGTTTCATCCTCGGGGGTGGGGTCTGCGGCCCATAGAGCACTGCCAGGGATCCTTGGAAAAGCAAAGCTCCTGCCTTCAGCTGGGAAGCGGAACAGGCCTGGTCAGCGACAGAGTGTCCCTCCCCTACACACAGAAGTTTACTCAGATCTCTTCCCCGCTAAGACCCTTCAAGGAGCATCACACACACAATCAACAGGCTCAAGTCCTAGTAACAATAACAAATAAAAATAAAACCTAGTGTGTGTGTGTGTGTGTGTGTGTGTGTGTGTGTGTGTGTGTGTGAGGATAGCGACCCAAAAGACTTCCTTTCCCCCTTTTAAAGTCTAAATCCTCCCAAGAGTAGTGCCAACACCATCGCCAGCCAAAGCATTGGTAGGAGGAGCAGAGCCAGGACGTGAACTAAGTGAGGGGCCGGGTAGGGCTTGGGGAGGACCCCAAGGCGCGTAAGGACGGGCTTGGGGAGAAGCTTCTAACTTTACCCCAGAGGTACCCCAGTGGACTGCTTTTCCGTTCCTGCGCCCGCATTTCAGGCGCATCATCCCCAGCAAACGCGTTCTTAAACCCGCGGCCACAGCTCCCCCGAGAGGCAGCCGCCCCGGGGCTCCCCGAGCGGAGCCCCCGCCTGGCGGCCCGCCCCGGGCCCACCCCCGCCCCCGCCCCCGTTCAAGACCGTCCCCGGGCCACCCCGCAGCGACTCTGCGGCCCCGCGCTCCGGCCGGAGGATGGAGAGGAGGGCGCGGAGCCGCTCCAGGGAGGCGCGGGGGAGCGGCGGCGGGGCCCCCCGCCAGGAGGACCGGAGGGCGAGGGCCGAGAGGGGCGGCGGCGGCCACGGGCGCCGGGATGCGGGGCGCGAGCGGCGGGACGGCGGGCGGGAAGGGAGCCCCCGGGAGCCCCGCGCGCCCGCGGCCGCCGTGGCCGCCACCGTGGTGGACGTGGACGAGGTGCGGGGCCCCGGCGAGGAGGGCGCCGAGGCGATGGCGCCGCTGGAGAGCGAGCGGCCCGAGGAAGGTAGGGCGGGCAGGTGGGGGCCGGGAGGGAGGGAGGGCGGCCTTCCTTTCCGATGGCTCCCAAGGGATGTCAGATGGAGTGGAGGGAGTCACCATGCCCAAGGCCATCGAGGCCGGGCCTGAGACATCCCCAAGGGCAGCTACCAAATGCATCCGAAGGAAGACAAATAACATCAACCAAGTACCATGGATCTCAGGGGCCAGACAAGAAGGGGAGGCCGGAGGGAGTGGGGTCCAGGTTAGGGACCAGTGCACACAGCAAAGAAGCGGTGCAGCTGGATGTTATGGCCATGGAGGAGTACAGGGGCACCCAATTGAAGGGAAGACATGCATGAGCTGGTGGCTCCCGGCAACTATGCCACTTACTTTTCCATCCTCATCCCCACGCGTCAATCCTACGGAAAAGCCTGTTCAAGTTTCTTTGGGATGACCATTTTTCTAAAAGCAAAGGAAGCAGAGCCAAGTACCTAAGAGCCAGACCCGAGTTTAAATCCCAGCATTGGCACCAACCAGCTGTGGCCTTGGGCAAGTAGTTTCTTCTGTGTGGGCTTCATCCAGGCTCTCCAGCTGTCCAGTGCGGAGAGCCGGGGGCCCTAAGCAGTGGGTGAGAAGTCTCACTGAGGATGAGGCCGCCTTGCTGAGCCCTGTCTGGGGGCTCCCCAGGATTAAGGGGAGCAAGAGACAGCAACATCCACTCCCCTGCCTCCCTTAGCCCCCACTCCCCACTCCAGGTTTCTTAAGGTTTAGGAGAAATGAAAAAGCACTGCCCTTTACCAAAATGCTGGGGATTCTCAGACTCTGTCATATCTAACAGCTCTTCCTACTTTAACATTTAATGATTCCCTAGTCACTTAAATCAAACAAATCGGATATGCAAGGAACTGATTCCAAGAGAATATTTTGTGAGCAAAGCTTTCAGTTAGGTTTGGGATATAGATATTAGTTTTTCTGTTCATATCCTTAATTACCGTGTGAAAGAATGCTGAGGCCTTTCACTTATAAAATGTAATTTTGTCTGTCTGTGCATTTATTTGTTTTTACCTGGCATGGTTACCACTGTAAGTGAAATATTTGTATTTACTAATTAAACAGGGCAATAGAACTGTTATTGCTCTTAAGGAAGAATAAGGGGGCGAAGGGGGAGCTAGGATGATGTTAATGGGGCAGCATTTTCCAAAGTAGATTACATGAGAAACAAATTCCATAGAAAGAAATTTCCTTGGAGAAAGCATTGGAAATGCTTTTCAGGGGCCTGCTCCGCCTTCCATAGGCCCACATGGCCCTTCACACAGACCATGCCCTAGCCCTGTGAACTGACTTCCCTGATACCCAGCTCATTCTAATGTTCTCACGGAAGTCTACAACTGTTCTGACCCTAATACCAAGGACTGGACAACACATGCTAGTCAGTGAAGATAGTGAAGTTTCAATTTCCTTCTTCTTCTTCTTTTTTTTTAAGGTACCAAGTCTTCTGGATTAGGGGCCTGTGAGTGGCTTCTTGTCCTCTCATCCCTGCTCGTCATCATCCTGACCTTCCCTTTTTCTATCTGGTTCTGCATAAAGGTGAGATCCTTTAAATAATTTCCCGGAGCCTCTCAGGAACCACAACATGCCCACTTTTACTTCTGTGTTTCAATAAGGGCTGTCTGCTCCCCATGGAATGCCCTCCCCACTCACCTTCCGGGAGAGAGCCTACTCCTTTAAGACGTTGCTCACATGTAACTGTGAAGACTTCCTTGAGCTCTTGTGTCACTCTGCTTCCACATCCATTCTAGCACTTACCACATGAATAGTATTTGTTGACACCCCATCTCTCCGATTACATGGAGAGCCCCTTCAAGACAGGGGCTACACCTAGGTCATCTGCACTCTGTAACAACAATGGTGCCATTGTAATAACCTGGTTATTATGTAACAGGAAAGGAAAAAAGGGAAGACTAGAGAGAGCACATATAAGAGGCGTGCCATTTATACAGCTTTGCCAAAAAGCTGCCTTTGACATTCTCCAAATCTGTTCCCCACTGACTGATGGGGGATGGGACTAGACAAAGGCAGTTTAGATACGTGCCCAGTAAGGTCAGTGATGTGGGAAGGTGCCTGCCCCTCGGCCAGTCACACTTGGGAACACGCTAGTGGCCAGGATGGGGGAGAACTTGTGACTAACTGGTATTACTTTTTCTTTAAATGTTTGGTAGAATTCACCAGCAAAGCCATCTAATCATGGATTTTTCTTAGTGTGAAATTTTTAAACTACTAATTTAATCTCTTCCTCATACTTCTTTTCTGTTTTTCTTTTTCTTCTTGAGTCAGTTTTGGTAGTTTGTGTATCTATAAGATTTTGTCCATTTCATCTAAGTTATCTAATTTGTTGGTGTCTAGTTCATAGTATTTTTCTTATAATATTTTTTTTTATTTCTGTAAGGGCAGTAGCGATGTCCCTGTATCATTCCTCTTTGATTCCTGGTTTTAGCAATTTGAGTCCTCCTTTTTATTGGTCAGTCTAGATAAATATTGGTCAATTTTGTTGATGTTTTCAAAGAGCCAACTTTTGATTCTGCTGATTTTTCTCTATTGGTTTTCTCTTTTCTATTGCATTTATTTCCACTCTAACTTCATTATCTTCTTTCTTCTTGCTTTAGATTTAGTTTGCTCTTCTATTTACAGTGTCCTAAGGTAGAAGATTCAGGTATTATTTTGCGATACTTTTCACAATTTGAAATAAAATATAAGAAGTGATACTAAAATATACTCCCTCTTTCTATTAAATAACTGATAATTGATATATATAAAAACTAATCATGCAGAAGAGACAGAAAAATTTAAGATTGAACATGCTGTAGAAAACATTCTCTGATTTCTTTGAGTTAGGGACTGTTGAACATTAGTGGAAGCATTATTTTATTTTATTATTATTATTTTTTAGATAATCATGGCTCTTTAATCAATATTCTGTTCATGGGCTCAAAAATGAACATGGCCAATATAGTTTTATTATTATTATTATTATTATTATTATTATTGGTTTCTGAAATTCTACACTTACTAAATGTAGATTTTGGAAACCTACATAGCAAATTTTTTCTTGGTTCTCAAAACAAAAGATTCCTGATACCTAGAATTTCTCTCATGTGAAGGCTTTTTGAAGACTCTCTTTTTCTTTCTTGAAGTGATTCAAAAGTATTAAATTTGCTTTTAGGTTGTACAAGAATACGAGAGAGTAATTATATTCCGACTGGGACATCTGCTTCCTGGGAGAGCCAAAGGCCCTGGTAAGGAACCGTTTCTTAACCCCCTGTAGACTTGCCAATTTCTTCAGCCCATGCATATTTGTAATATGGACCTTAGATTACATGAAATAATTGGATTCCTGATATCTCCATTTTCCAATCTGGTACTGGTAACATAGTTTATTAAGAAATTCTTCAGAGAGCATTACTATCAGGTCACAATAACCAAAAGAGAAGATGGGTGCAGAGAACTAAATGCCAGGGCTAGGCTGCCCAGAGTAACAGGTGGGCTTAGAACCCATGTCCAGGCACGAGTTTTAGTAGAATGTGTGTATGGTCAGAATTCTGTGAATTCTCAGAGCAAAGCTAAGCTAATTCAAAGTCTAGAGGATCAGACCAAACTATGGAAAATTGGCAAAGTTCAGCATCCAGGTAACACATTGGTTTTCAGTTGGTGGGATTGAAGAAAAACAGAATGAGCACTTTTTATATTTCAGATACTGTATAACTACCAGAGATATCAACAGGAATGAGACATGGTTTCTGAGTCCTAGGACCTCCAAGTCCAGTGGAGCTGATGTTCAGAGGTCCAAGCGGATAATGGGCACTGACAGAAGCATGGTTAGTCTGAAAGGTCTAGTAGTTGGGATTTAGAGAGCCACATGAGCCAGGTAGGCATGAAAAGGAGCCAAGTCCCACAGTGCATATATTGGAAAGGGTCCAAAGTTCCCAGTCAGCTCTACAGAAAAAGGTAGAGAATAGAGACCAGACTAGAAGACATAAATCAGAATTAGAAGATTCATAATCAACCGAGCAAGGTGATCATGCAGCCTATTTTGCCAAGAATGATCTCTTTTTATGCCTGTTGTCCTTGAGTAGGTTGTAACTGTGGTCTCTTTTCATTCTCAAAAGTGTTTTGGGTTGAACAACAAATTATATAGTAACCTTAGCAACAACAAACACTATAGGGGTAGTGGTGGGGTTGCCCAAGGGCCTGTGTGTGGTTGCAGGTTAAGAAAAGCAATGAAATGTGCAGCCTGACCCCCAAAAAGTGAACCCCAAACAGTATCCACGCTAGTCATTCACCTGTAACTTTCTCCTCTCCCTCTTCTAGGTCTTTTCTTCTTTTTGCCCTACCTGGATACCTACCACAAGATTGACCTTCGTCTCCAAACCTTGGAGATTCCCTTTCATGAGGTAAGCCAAATGATGGATTTTGCTCTCTCTACATTTTACATGGCTGGTCTAAGGCAAAATAACTACTTAAGATCAAAAGTAGAAAAGGGAAATAGAGATATGGACTACATCAATATGAAAAAATTCCTGTACATCAAAGGACGCAATCAACAGGATGAACAACCACTCTATGGGATGGAAGAAAATAACATGTCTGATAAAGGGTTAATATCTAATAGATATAAAGAAATCTTACAACTCAACAAGAAAGCAAACAATAATAAAAAAAAGTACTTGTGATGATTAATTTTTATGTATCAACTTGACTAAGCTATGGTATCCAGAAGTTTGGTCAGGAACATCTGGATATTGCTGAAGAAGTACTTTTAGATAAGATTAGTATTAAATCAGTAGACTTTGAGTAAGGCAGATTATGTTCTATAATGTGGCTGGGCCTCACCCAATCAGTTGGAGGCTTCAAGAGAAAGATTGCACTCCCCTTGAGGAGGAGAGAATTCTGCAAACAGACTGCTCTCAGGCTGGAGTGGCAACATCAACTTTTCCTTGAGCCTCCTGTTGACCTCTCTTGAAGATTTTGGACACACCAGCTGGGCTAGCATGACTTTTTGTCAGTCTCTCAATATGTAAGTCAATTCTTTAAAATCTCTTACACACACACTCAAACACACACACACACACACACACACACACACACACACACACACACAGATTCTATTTCTCTGGAGAGACCTGGCTGATACAGACTTGAATAGCATGTCTCCAAAGAAAATATAAAAAATTGTCAACAAATGTGAACAAACATTCAAAATCACTAATCAATAGAAAAATGCAAATCAAAACCACAATGAGATCCCACCTCACATCTATTAGCGTAGCTACTAAAGCAAAGGGGAAAAAAGGCCAGAAAATAACAAGTGCAGGCATTGCAACCCTTGAATACTATTAGTGATTAGGTAAAATGGTACTGCTGCTGTGGAAAACAATACAGCAATTCCTCAAAAAATTTAAAACCGAATTGCCATTTAGTCTAGTAATTCTACTTGTGGGTATATACCCCAAGGAACTGAAAGCAAAATTTTGAAGATATATTTATATATCTATGTCCATAGCAATATTAGTTACAATGACCTAATTGTAACTAATAGGTCACTTGGATTTCTTTCAGAGGTGAAAGAAATCCAAGTGTCCTTCAGTGGCTGAGTAAACAAAATGCGGTATATACCTACCATGGAAAATTATTCAATCTTGGAAAGTAAGGAAATTCAGACACTTACTACATTAAGGATGAACCTGGAGAACATTAAGCTAAGTGAAATAAATCAGTCAGGAAAAGATAATATTGAATGATTCCACTTTCATGAGGTACCTAGAGTAGTCAAACCATGGAGACAGAAAGTAGAGGGGTTTACAGGAGTTGGGAAGAGGAATGGCAAGTTCTTGCTTAACAGGATTCAGTTTTACAAGATGAGAAGAGTTCTGGAGATTGATTGTACAACAATATGAATGTACTTAACACTCCTGAACTGTACACTTAAAAATGGTTAAGATGGTAAATTTGATGTTATGTGTATTTTACCACAAATAAGAAATTTAAAAAGTAGAGGTAACACCTAGATTTTTTTCTATTAGTAATTTAGATTTATAAGTCTTTCCTAACTGTTCCTCACTTTCAGTTCGAAGATCTTCCTTATGCTTTCTTTTGTTAAATAAAAACAGAACTTATATATATTTAAAGGCTTATTTCAGATAATAAAATGTAAAAAAGAAAAATAAAATTTACCCCTAATCCTATTACATATATATAGATATAGATATTTTGGAGTGTATCATTTCAGACTTATCTGCGTGTGTGTGGTTATATTTACAGACAGGAATATATATCAAACCATACATTCCATAGTATCATGACTTATTTTACTTTTAATATATTTTAATTGATTTATTTTAGAGAAAGAGGAGGGAAAAGGGAGAAGGAAGGAGGGAGAAAGATAGATAGATAGATAGATAGATAGATAGATAGATAGATAGAAATGACAGAGAGAGAGAGAGAGAGAGAGAGAGAGAGAGAGAGGGAAATAGAGAGAGAAATGACAGAAAAATATCAACATCAATCAGCTGCCTTCTGCATGCTGCCTACTGGGGATCAAGCCCAAACTTGGGTGTGCGCCTTGACCAGAATTGAATCCTTACCTCTTTTTTTTTTTTTTTTTTTTCCCCCAAAATCGTTACCTCTTGGTTCCTGGGTTGACATTCAACCACTGAGTCACACCAGCTGGCCTAGCATGACTTTCTACTCAACAATTTTTGTGATTATCTTTTCATATATTAGCCATGTTTCCACCCTTTTATTTTACATGGACACAAAGCATGCTAGTGTATGGACGTATGTACCACAATTTATAATTCCCTGTTGTTGATATTAGGTTGTTTCCAATTTCTTATTACAGTAAGCAATACTGTGAATAACATCCTTGCAGCTAAATCCTTATGATATGTCCTTGTGAAGGGTCTGACCATAGAAATGCTGAGCACATGCGTCTGTGAGGGCACTGGGCATGCAATACCAGCCTGCCCTCTTGTGTATACCCAGTACGCAGAGCATGCTCATGCTCATTTCCCAGACCGTGCTTCTCTTCAGCACATTTTTGGGGGCATCAGTTTAAAAAGACCTGATACACAACTGATTTTTTTCATGTCAGAAAATTCTTTCTGATTTTTCTTTTTTTACAAAAATATTTACAACAGGATTCCCTTAAATTGTGAGAATTTTGGTGTAATTAGTAAAAACTCCTTAATCTTCAGAAACATGTTTATTTTGGATAATGGGTAGGCCAACTACTCTTTGGTTCTTTCCTTGCTAAAATCTTCCTTTGAGAAAATTCCCTTTGAACACATTTAGTTCTAGTTCCTCTAATCCCAAATGGGAAAGAATCAGGCCTGTCACCCACACTCTCTTTTCTGCGTAGGTTGTGACCAAAGACATGTTTATAATGGAGATAGATGCCATCTGCTACTACCGAATAGAAAATGCCTCTCTTCTCCTGAGCAGTCTTGCTCACGTGTCCAAAACTATTCAGTTCCTCGTGCAAACCACCATGAAGCGTCTGCTAGCACATCGATCCTTCACTGAAATTCTCCTAGAGAGGAAGAGCATCGCCCAAGATGTAAAGGTACTTCAGTAAATTTAACACTGAATGTGTTGAAATTTTATCTTTTATTCATTTTCTTCATTGATCATTTATAGAATCTGCCAGGTACCAGGCCTTCACTGTTAAAGGTAAAAATTATCACATTGATCCTAAACCAATCCTAGTCGCCAGTATGGTGCAGGTTAGGCAGTCATTGCCATAGTGCTTGCTCTCAACCCTATTCCAGCAGCTTCAGACTCATTGTAAAGTTCTCACATGGCACAAAGTGGTGGGAGTGGGAGCTGGCCGGGTGAGGATGGAGGATGGATGGGAAAGGTTGGTGGCATACCAAGATGATAAGTAGTCTCCTGGGAGCTGTCTAGTTGGGAAAACAAAGTTAAACAATGATAGGTTCATATCAGACTTTCAGATAAAAAGATGTCACAGACCCTTCCATGATTAATTTCCCAATCATCTAAATTTAACTGATTTGGAATTTGGGGTGGTGGGGGTGGGTAGAGAAGAGCCAGAACTGCCTCTCAAGATTGGGAAAGGTATAAGAAGAGAGGCAAGAACAGAGCAGGATTCCAGAAAACTGACCGGTCAGATGGTAGACACCACCAGTGACAGAGGCCCTGGGGCACAGAACTGAGGAAGGGGGTGATGAATCATGACTGAAAGGGGGACTCCTACAGGAGGCTCTAAGGACCAAAGGCATTGATAGTAATTGTGCTGATGGGGCCTGAGCAGACACTAATCTGAGAAAATGAAGTACCCAATGTTTGTGAGTTGTCCCACTTGTTAATGATAAAACAGTGATTAGCATCCTGGTTGTAAATAAAGGGAAGAATTCAGTAAATAAGAGAAGCTAAAAAGAGGAAAAGTTATAACAAGAGGGCCACAGGAAAGTTGTTGCTCTGGAATTTAAAAACCAGCCAAGTGGTGCCCCCTCGCCTCCCCCCCTCGGTCCCTGTTCATTCGCTCTTCCTGTTCTTCCCTCTCCATTAAAAGATAAAGTCCAGATTCTTGACATCCAAGCTTGCTTTGTTACACTGAATTATATTTTATGTATTTATACATTTGTCTCCTGTGTTATGAACTCGGTATAGCAGGGGCCATATTTTATTCATTCTCTGTCTCACAGGGAATGATCGCACAGGGCGATCACACAGCAGCCGGATCATGCTCTTTGGCTGACAGAAGAAACAGCCCAGCTGTTGCAGCCTCACTTCTTGCTGTCCTTCCCGCGTGCATCTGATACTCCAGGCTCCTTAGTATTCCACAGGCTTCCTTGCCTCGGAGGCCTAAGACTTAGGCTGTCTCCTCTGCATGGAATACTTCCCTTTCTCCACAGGCAAAATCCTATTTGTTCTTTACCATGCCACCTCCTCTGTGACGGCTTTTTCAACATTCCTTCCTCTCAACGAACTTCCAAATTAGTCAATCTTCTCAGGTTTCTCAATGCACTAAGCTTATTAGTTATCTAACAATTAAAAAATCATCAGAAATGATTAAAAAAGAAAAGAATATGAGCCCACATGTGGAGCTCCATGCCTTGTCCATTTTTCTGCAGAATCCACAGTTCATTTCCCCCCGCCTCCTGGGATTGGACGTGGGGGAAACGGATGCCACCAACAGGAAGGCCATGCAAGCGCCTGTCATTGAAAACACCTATTATTTAAGAGAGAGACTACAGACTCTGGGTTTCTAATAAATGCACTTTAAAACAGATTTAACAAGTACGTCATCTGTAGCATTTCCCATTGCTTTTATGACAAATTGCCACAAGCTTGGTAGCTTAAAACAACATACATTTAATCTTTGTTTTTGAAGGCCAGAAGTCCAGAGTTAGTTTCACTGGGCCAAAGTCAAGGGATCCGCAGGGCTGGTGCCCAATGGAGGCTCTGGAAGGAGAATCTGTTTCCTTTCCTATTTCACCTGCATTTCTTAGCTCGTGGCCCTTCCTCCATCTTCAAAGTACATCACTCCGCTGCCTGCTTCTGTCATCGTCATCACATGACGATGGCTTCCACAGCCAGGGAGTGCTGAAGTCTTATCTCTTCTGGAGTCTTATCTCCCTCTGCATCCCTCTTGTAAGGACACGTACAAGCACCATCTGGAGGTTGTCACTGACATCTCAACTCTTCCCTCTACAGGTTGCCTTGGATTCAGTGACCTGTATTTGGGGAATCAAAGTGGAGAGAACAGAAATGTGGGTAGGAAATTAACTGGGAAGAACAATATGATAGATGGAAATATTTTGGTTTTATTAAAAAAATTTATTTGATAAGTTATTTTTCATTGCGTGAGTATATGACTATAACCATAATAACATACGTTTGGGGGAGAAAAAAATCAAACACCTATATCTATTATTTCATAAACATAACACAATCATTGTGACATTTGGGCCAATTACTTTCATTTTCTGAGAAATCTCTCTGTATGAATTAAAAAATATTCTGAAATAAAATCACATAACATAAAACTCATCTTTTAAACCACTTTAAAGTACAATGCAGTGCTTTTTAGTATATTCACAAAGTGGTGCAACCATCACTACTCACTCATTCTAGAATATTTTTATCACCCCAAAAAAGAAAGCCTGTGCCCTTAGCAGAAACCCCTCATTTTCCCTCCTCCCCAGGCCCTGATAACTACTCTCTCTCTCTCTGGATTTGCCTGTTCTGGACATTGTATATAAAGGCAATTATACAATATGTGGCCTCTGTGTCTGGCTTCTTTCACTTAGCACAATGTTTTCAAAGTTCACTCATGCTGTAACATGAATTAGTATGTCATTCCATTATTCCATTGTGTGACTAGAACACATTTTGTTTATTTTCTCATCGACTGATGGACATTTGGGTTGTTTCCACTTTGGGGCTATTATGAATAATGCTGCAATGAACATTCACATGCAAGTTTTTATGTGAACATGTTTTCAATTATTTTGTGTAGGTACCTAGGAGTGGAATTACTGGTTCATATAGTAACTCTATATTTAACTTTCTGAGGAATTGCCAGGCTGTTTTCAACCCATGTATTTTTCATTGTTGTGTTCAGGGTAAAAGCAAAATGTTGTATCTTTTTTTGTAATACATTAAGTATTGTTCTTATTTGGTCAGTTCTGTGCTTTTCAAGACAATTCTCTTGTATAAACTTAGATAACTTCTCTTATTCTTCTCATTAATAACATGGTTCTTCATGGCTTTTTTTTTTTTTTCATTGTTCTAATTTAATAGCTGGGATTTAGATTAAACTAAGTTAGGGGGGGAAAGCAACATAATCCATCAACACAAAATTTGTTCTCCATGGAAAGAGAAAACCATAGCTCCACTGTAGCATCAGTGATAGTAAAAATCTGCAATAAGGCACTGACCCTTGAGACACATCCTTAGAGCCGGCTGTCTGCCCAGGGATCTGGGGATGGCGCTCTGTTAATCAGGATTTTCTGTGCGTTGTGAAACAATAGTAGGGAAGGGGGTAAGACTGTACGGAAGCTCTGACTGCTGAGAGCAGAGTGCACACCTACCTGGCCACGTTCTCTCTTTCAGTAAGGATGTGCGGCTGCCGGCTGGGCTTCAGCACTCCCTGGCTGTGGAAGCCGAAGCGCAGAGACAGGCCCGAGTGCAGGTGAGCCAGCAATGAGCAGGCTATCTGCCCTCCGAGGCTGCTCTTTGAGGAGCTCCGAGGAATCCGGAAGGCCTGCTCACGCAGAGCATCTCCCTTTTGCTTCCCCACCTCCCATCTGTCCAGGGGCTGGGAGGAATCTGGCTTGTGCTCCCCACTCCAACCAGCTGTATTACAATCGCTCGTGTGCTAGTAGCTCCTAAATGACTAATGCAAACTCTCCTCCTGCTAATCCCTCTCTGAGGCCATTGGTAACAGTGATCATCTCCTCCAGCCTGAGTCTTGTCTTCATTCTCTCTCCCTGAAGGCATCTCACCACACTTCATCCTTCTTCTCTTGTGCTGGCATCTGTCCTGGGTACTATCAGTCACCTGTCACCTATAGGTTAATGACACCCAGATCTGTCTCCCTAGCTCTGCGCTAACTTGGGAGAGACAACCATGCTCAGGGGCCAGTTTCCTCCACACCAGAGCCAAGAGAAGGCTGTGCGACCCACAGCCTCTACTCAGACATGCCAGTGAGAAGCAAGGATGTGGCTGCCAGCAACTCCTGACTTGTGTGGGTGGAATGGGAAGAGGAAAATGAGGACTGAAGGGGAGGCAGATTTCTTTTAAGGAACAGGAAGTAGGTGGAAAAACCTCTAACCACATAGAAGGCTGATAACTGAGGGGAAGTGGAGGAGAACGAGAGGAAGATGGTCTTCTGGTCAGAATGGTATCTAACCCTCTCTGCCCATTACAGTGGCATTTAGGTGGTGAGATGGGTGTTTTCCTTCTGAAAGGCTTTCCCACTCATTTTGTTGAGTTGGGAATTACCCTTTCAGGATTCCATGTTTTTGCCTGGAATATTGGCCAAACTTTTCTCTATATGGCAAAATCCTTTTAATCTTTCAAGGCCCACTAGACATAACTCCCAAACATTTCACTATACTTGCTATTTTTTGCCTCAACAAATTCTGCCCTAAATTACAATTAATAGTGTAATCTGTCTTCCCTAGAGCAAGATCCTTGAAAATGAAGACCGTCTGTTCTATGCTTCACAGAACCTGCCACATAGTAGATGCTTGCTGAATAGTGATTAAAACTGTCAAGGAACGAAGAAGGGAACTCACTTTGCTTTTCTTCACGTCTGTTCTCTAGATGATCGCCGCAGAAGGGGAGAAAGCCACCTCTGAGTCCCTGAGAATGGCAGCTGAGATTCTGTCAGGCACTCCAGCTGCTGTTCAGCTTCGATACCTCCACACCCTCCAATCCTTGTTCACAGACAAATCTTCCACCGTGGTTATACCTTTGCCATTTGACATGTTAAATTTCGTGTCTTCTCCCAGCAACAGGACTCAAGGAAGCATTCCCTTCCCAAATCCTTCCAAACCTGTTGAACCACTGAATCCTAGAAAGAAAGACTCTCCCATGTTATAAGAAGAGCAAAGGATAATACCTGGGAGCCTGCCATGTAACAGCCACATCCCTGTGTTCTCACTTCCTGCCCTTGCTTTCGTTGCCAGATAGAATGCCTTTGGAATGTATGAAGTTGCAGTGCAGCAACCTACCTACATGAGAAGACAGTGAAATCCTGTAATGACCAAGAAGAGATACAAGTAGATCATCTAGTCAGAGAAATGATGGGAAAGAGCTTTAGCCAATGTTCTATTTTGGGAAGAATTTTGAGTCCATACATGGCTAACCTTAGATGTGGTCCAAATGTCCTTTTTGCCTTGGGCCCCCTGGCCCCTTTGGCAAGGTCTTCGTTGCTCTCATGGCCCTTTCCGCACGCCCTGGTCATTGTGTTTATCACACTGTGTCGTATAATCCTGTACTTAAGATGTAGGCTTCTCTCCAGCTGTACTATGAATTCCTCAAAGGTACATCTTAGTCCTTCTCCCCCCACCACACTCTACCTTGTACCCTCCACCCCATCGACCTCACTCCCAATCCTGATACCTGCACTACAGCGACACTTAAATGTCCCCGAGAGAATGAAAGTAAAAGAGATAGTTGGAATAAATATTAATAAAGAATTTAAAAGGAATTATTTTTTATAAAGACTCCTTTTTGAAATACAGAAATAATAGGACAAAAACATTTATCTGATACATGTTGCTTAAAATCGGAGGAAGCATCACTATAAATATGGGGCCAATGTATTTTCAGTATAGAATTGACCAGTTTGCTTAAACAGTAACATTATGTGATCTATACACACTTTGAAGTATTCTTTTCTTGTATGTATTCCCTAATATGAATACATTTATATAATTGGTCTTATTTTCTATTAACTTGCCTATACAATTAGAAATTTATATCTATAGAAAAGCTTAGTTAAGAAAGAATATTGATACATATATAGTGAATCTTCTTATAAACTTAAGAAAATCAATAACATTAGAAAACATTACTAACATTAGAAAAAAATGACTAAAAATCATTATGATAGAGATGATCCTGGGGTTTTCCATGTTGTTGTAGCAGAAATAAATGGTGGTAGCTACCCCAGTGCTCATTAATTGGTGATTTCTCTCCGTTAAAGTGTCTCTTTACTCTTCATGTTATCTGATGTTGTTATTGGAGATGTCTTCCTGCTAGCCTGTGAGAACTTTATATATTTGGTATAAAAATTCTGGTAAAGGATTTTTGTTTATGAATGTTATCCCATAAAACCCTGTTGAACATTATTTCAGAAAGAAATGTATTCTGAGCTCCTAACAGTGGACCTAGAAATTTTGTTAGCATTTTGTCTGTTGGAGACAGGCTGTTTTCCCACTATGTTTAACTAACAGAGATAAGGCTCCAAACCAAGAGTGCTTTGCCCATTCTATTATCTCTCAATCACTCCAATATTCCTTCCCTCTGCCATCCTTCTGCCCTCTAAAAAAGAACAAAAACTCCCTAGCAGTCTAATATAGCAGTGCATCACGAGGCCAACCACAGGGTCATCTCCGTCATATGTCTCTAGGCCACCTCATCACCTCCATCCACACGGGGATAACCACACAATCTAACCCAACCTTGCTATGCCCTTTGACTTGAGCCAAGCAATGAATCTTCCTAAGATTATGCAGGATTATTAGATTATTTTAGAATCTACATAATCATACTGCTATGCCAAATTCATTTATTAATATGACATCTGCTTATAAGGTTACTATATAATGAGGTGATAATTTGTTCCAAAAGGCTATTTCATCCAGTCCTGAAAAATGTTTCCGAATGTTGTTAATGGAGTCTCCCTAGTCCCTGCTCCCAAGGACCAGACTTGGTTGTGGGGAAAGGGCGGTGCAGGAAGCCACAGATCGGACAGTCTCTGGGGCAATGGGAGATTCTGAAGCAGGAAAAGCTCTAAACCATGTTCAAGTGCCAACATAGAAAGTGTGGAATTTAAAAGGTGATCAAATCCAAGTAAGCCAAAGGCCGGTAATGAAATCTGCCAAGCCAGGAGTATGGTGCCAAAGAGAGGAAAGCAAGCACTAACAAGGCAGACAGACTGGGGAAGGGGAAACTCCTGGGTGATTTCCTAGACTGTCTAATCCATTAGGCTTTGCAGTTTGTTTTTGTGCACCAGCCAGGGCACCGATGTAGGTGGCCCAGCTCATTTAAAGGGCCAATGGCAATTAGAAGATTCCTGAACGGGAAGAATTTTTCATTACCACTGTGTTGGCCTGTACCCATTCCAGTGTACTGTTGATTGAAGTTAAGATGACATCAGGAGTTGTTGGTCACCTTTCACCCTCTATGGATGGTTCCTGATATTGGGTTGGCAGATGTTGGAATGACTAATGAAAAAAGGAGGTAGGGTCATGCTGGTTCAGGTAAAACCAGAGCTAGGAACGGATCAGTGAGAAGTGAATGCCAGGGTGACAATGTAACAATGGCTTGTATGGACATTTAATAATTCCTAGGACCCTTGACATCAACAAAAAGTGTCCTCAAAAACTTACTAAGAATTCTTTGTTTCCATGTTGAAAATGTGAATTCCTCCTCCATAGTTTTGTAAATCCCCAAGTCTGAATAAAATTTACTACGTCTTAAAAAAAAAAAAAAAAGAATTATTAAGTCCCACCTAAATTTGTTAGGATCATCCAAGATCTGCTGGGGAAAGCAAAAGGGTACAGCTGGGTATGCCTGGCAGGTGATAACTGTACGTGTGAGTCTCAGCCTTGGCTTTCATTTAACCATGAACACCGGCCTCTGTGAAGGAAACCATTTGAATGTTGAGGCACAGTGTCAGCTTGACAGCTTGTCTGTGTCAGCTTGTCTGAAAAATTTTATGTTTTCTTCCCCCAGATCTAAAGAACCGTCCAGTAGGCTCAGCATTTCTGATACGCATCCCATACACACTTTGGTGACGGCCAGGGGCAGGCCTGGCCAGGGGTTTGGCTTAAATAAGGCCAGGGTTCTAGAGTCGGGGTGGGGTTGACTGAGGCTGAAGGAACAGGCAAAGGTCTAAAGTTTCAGGAGACAAATCCAACGGAACACCAAATATGTGAGCCAAAGCAGGTGCAGAAATCTTACCACATGTGTTTGGAGCCAGAGAGATAAGAGCAAATCCAACTAACCCAGGAGCAGAGAACTAGAAGGAGCTCTTGCTATGTGACTACTCAGAACGTGCATTTGTCATTTGCAACTTACTTTTGCAGGTTAGTCCAACTCTAGTGCCTAGAAGAATCCACGGTCACAAACAGAACAGACAAATGAGGCAATGAAAGCAAAGAAGGCAGATTCTGGGTGAACCTTCAGCAACACCGGCCTCTGTGAAGGAAACCATTTGAACGTTGATGGCCCATGGCCATTGTCAAACAATCCAGACACCCGTTCAGCAAGCTGGGGGCTCTGGCACTGATCAGCTCAGTAACCTAGGGGGAGGCTTATAACCATTTTGGGTTTCAGTGTCATCTTCTGAGAAATGAGGATAACAGAATGAACCCACCTACTGTATAGGGTTATTGTGAAAATCAGATAAACCATAAGAATGCCTGAAACCATAAGAAGTTTGAAAATGCTGCAGAAACCTCCGAGTAATATCAGGATCCTCTCCTTTAAAGTGAAAAATAATGCTTTTTATTTGTTATTTTTCTTTTCAAAAAGCAGTATTTTTCTTAACAGAAACATTTTTTTCACAGACCTCTGGTAGGAAATAATTGAAGAGGTTAGCAAACTTTTGCACAAGCTCTTTTTAATCTGGGAAATAAGCTGATATACTGATTCCCTACAGCAGTCACTGTGACTTTTGTGTGGTATGTCATGGCTTTTCTCATAGCTATTACAATGCAAGTCCTTCCGTTGAGGCACAATGTCAGCTTGACAGCACAGATATGCCTGGGGTGCACTCAGGTAGGGAGCCACAGCGATGCCCAGCACCCTATGGATGCTTTGGTTTGCCCCTACTGGATTTAGTCCGGCTTTTGGATTTGCTAGCACTCAAAGTAGTCTCCTTGGGTCGTGTCCCTGAAAGACAAAAGCAATTAGAATGTTACAATAACACGATCTCATATTTACTAAGTACTTTTTACCTTATAAAGCATTTTTTTGGTAAATTACCTTTACCTGAGGGTACTTTTTCTTTTTTTCTTTCTTTTTTTAAAACATATTTTATTGATTTTTTTTTACAGAGAGGAAGGGAGAGGGATAGAGAGTTAGAAACATTGATGAGAGAGAAACATCGATCAGCTGCCTCCTACACACTCCCCACTGGGGACGTGCCTGCATCCAAGGTACATGCCCTTGACTGGAATCAAACCTGGGACCCCTCAGTCTGTAGGCTGACGCTCTATCCACTGACCCAAACCGGCTAAGGCCTGAGGGTACTTTTTCCATTGATCTTTAGAGAATGGAAGGGAGGGTAGGAGGGAGAGAAAGACAAACATCGATGTGAGAGTAACACATTGAATGATTGCCTCCCACACAAAGCCTGACCAGAACCAGGAACAGAACCTGCAACCCAGGTATATACCCTTGATGCACCACCCTCCAGTGTGTGATATGTAGACCAACACTCTAATCACTGAGCTACCAGCCAGGGCTACAGGGCAACTTTAAAATTCTGTTCTGCCTGAGTAACTGCTAAGCTATCAAAAAAAATTCTGTGCCCAAAATTTGACTCTAAATTTGATATTGGAATTCAGAATGCATCAGCCTGAAGTCTGGGTCCTGGAAGGGGGCCATATAGTAAAGGAGAGAAGAGAAAGAGGAAGAACGTTTTCTTCTTCCATCTTGCACACACCCCAAGCTTGGTGAGAAAACATTCAAATAGAGTTAGTATCCAGAATCCTGCCAGATCCATCCCTGTACTCCTGTTCTTTCTCTCCAACCTCCTGAACACAGACCCTGCACAAGCCCTATCCTTGGGATGGGTACAGGAGGCCTTCTGCCATCACAACTGCTATGTCTGGCTGCTCCATGACACAAACTTCGTCATCTGAATC